TGCAACCTCCGGAATTCCAATCGCACCAAAAGCTGAGAGGAAGCCATTTGAATCTGAGGAGCGGAGCAGTGGCAGCTGATCATAAATCCGAACGGTGCCCGGGTGCCCGGCGAAACTTCCCGGGAGATGCCGGTTGTAAATCGGCGAGATTTACGAATAAAAATTTACGATGTGTGCTCAAATTTGAGCGAACGGTAAACAACATCGCTCGAGCTTTGTCTCTGAGAGTCACCGTCTGTTTGTTTTTAGGTTAGGCCGATTCGCGGTTTACCGGGAACGCAGTGCGCGCGCCAGGTGGGCGTGTCGCGAGCTCGCGCCTAGCTCTCATCGATGCCATGTTGCATCAAAAATACTCGTTTTCTTGAGGATGGACAGAGAAAATTTACTATTTGAACTTGAAGGGACTGAAATTGCATTATTACCGCGAAAAAAGTTAGGTTTTTCGTAGAGAATCGGTTATTTCAACATGGAATTGTTTTGACTCGTGTAACCAAAAGTTCAGTTCGTATAACTCAAGAATTCATCAGTTCTTTTAACCTCATAAGTTTGGTTACACAAACTGAAGGTTGAGATCATACAGAATACCAGGTTCTCCTTCATTTTAAGGATATGCAATTTTATCTTCTTGGAAGTCGAAATAGTTGAATCATGTTTCACGCCCCACCCAACTTTTCTACTCCGCGTTAAAGTCTCCAAGTCAGTCGAAAAGAGTTCATGTTCTCCTTCATTACAAGGATATGCAATTTGAGCTACTTGGACGTTGAAATAGCTGTATCGTGCCTTTCACTCTGGATGGAGTGGTATTTGGAATGAAAAAAGTACTTAGACGGGTGGATTTTAACTAACGGTGAATATAATGTTTCTGAGAACTAAAAAACCACACTGATCTTGAACTGAGTACAGAATCATCAACTTATCATTTCCATCGATGACATAAATGCGTGGATTGATTGAAGTTCTCCAAGACATTTGGTAAATAGATTCATGCACACAATTCTGAGGGAAGGATTATAGGAATATTTCATGCGCTGAGTTCCGATTAATGAAGCAATTCGGCGATCCGCACTCAGGGAAGAGATCAGTGCCGTGCTTTGCGATTTATCCATTGATCTACCATTTAAACCAATGGAAAATGATCGATGAACAGGGTGTTCGCAACGAACATCTTAATAATCGATTCTTCACCACATCTTTGAAGGAGGAAACATCGATAATCTATCATTCACGCTTCTCCACTAGAAAATATCCTAATAATCATTATAATATTAGTTACAAATGCTATCTCTCGGGGAATGATCTGCGACTGGTTTGACAACGGCGTCTGATGAACGTTTCCCTTTTCTTTTACGATGTTTGCCGCGGTCGCTCACTGCAGGCCGCCAGCTTGCGCCTGTCGTGAGCCGTGATATTTACACCTTTAATGGACATCAAACGAGCCCAGCGACGGTGATAGTGTGAATATGATGGAGTGAATCTGTACGAATTTAAAAATGCAGATGGCGCTGGAATAACCATTTTTTAACCCATCCGACGTTAAGAACTACCTGTTTTCCTTTTCTTTTCACATGTTTGTGTGTTTCGAATTGTGTTTCATCCCTGAAAATTTGAAAGCCGGAGCATGGATGTGCCAAAAATCCCCCTGATGTCTACTGACAACAAAATAATCTCTATGTTGATACTCGTGTCTGTAGATGGCTGTAGATTCCTAAGTTACTAAATTAGCAGGAATAAAAGCCAAATCGACTGCACCAAAAAAAAAAAAAAAAAAAAAAAAAAAAAAAAAAAAAAAAAGTGTTTTATGCTCAGATTTTTCTACTAAGTTGAATAGAGCTACACTCGGATTTTTCGGGGCATTGCTCTCCGCTATTATATTTTCCCAAGCTTGACATTTTTCGCGAAATTTGTGTATTTTCTTAAAACTCATGATCTACCACAATGCCATTTAGGGAAGGTATAACAATAGCCGGCATTCCTGTCCATCAGGGACCGCCCCTAACTTACGTAACGCTTTAAGGAGGCGAGGGGGGGGGCAATACTTAGCTTTAGAAGCACGTATATCCTAAGCACGTCCTTTTTCCGATTTAATTCATTTTTATATAATGCCTTTCAACATAAATACGTCCGATTGGCGCGCTTGATGAACATACTTTTTATGCAACGGCTAAAACGACTCGCGCGCCCCCTAGCGGCGGGCACAGATCGTGCATGGCAAAGGGGGACTCGGCGCTGGGTGCGCAATACCGCAAACATTCCTGAGCGAGTGAGCTATGAATATCAACTGCGAAAGTCGAGGTTAGCCCGTAATGGGCAATGACAGAATCTGTTATTAGGAGGCATTGCGGGCAGACTATTAGAGTTGGCGAAAAGAGAAAAAGGGATCATAACTGCGAATGATAAGCGGTGCCAATGAGAAAATTACTATGATCCGGAGAGGAGGGAGAAAAGCCGAGAAACGCTCGGAAAAGAAAGACGAAAATATCGTAATAACATTCAAATATTCCTATTGTTTGCAAATCAGGATGAGGCTGGGGCCCGCACAAATATGGGTGTGCGCGCGTGAGTGTGTGTGCTGCCAGTCTAGTGTCTGGTCCCGCCGCGTTGCCCCCCCTCCCCCCGCCCCGCACGTCCAGTGTTGGTGCTCAAATATTTCCAGTTTGAAATTCATAAAATTTCTGGGAAATATCTTGTGAAATTTCAGGAGGCTGTGGAATTTTTTGAAATCATGGAATTTACTAGAAGGGACTTATCACACATCCCGCTTCCATACATCGTTTGCTTTAAACTGTAACATTACTTTTTCCTGCAATAAAATTCAAAAAACCAAGTCTCTCTCTTTTCATGTAGTTTATGAAACATTCAATCCTCACTGAGAGCAAAATGCTCTGAAAAAACGGAATAAAATACCTACATTGAAATTGCTTCGTAATAAGCAGAAAATTCACTGAAATTTGCACAAAAATCCTCACAGCCGTTTACATGTAAAAAATTAAATCGCCCAATTAATTGAGCAATATCTGATTTGGCTTGGTTCCTTTCTGTTTAACGCGGTTCATATATTTTAACAAAGTAGAGTACCTTTATAGGGAGAGTATGGACAACTCGAAAAGGAGATTTGGTTTGATCAAGTCATGTAGCTCTTTTATTTGGGCCCAAAAGGGGAGCCAACCAACAAACTCGAATTACCCAGTGATACTAATTTAAACTGCGAGAGTAGGTACACAGATCAAAAATTATAAAAGCACGTATAATACTTTGATTTAGGATGAATTTTCTCCCTTTCGAAGTCTCAATCCTTAGAGACGCTTTTTTACGATGCCCTGTCGGCCCTATTGATTAATATTTCAAATGTATAGGTTGGCAGCGGCACTTTTCTGGTGATTTTCGTTTTTTACGTTGTCACCTTTTTGGACCCTAAGAGCTACATAAATCGAGTTTTCCACACTCTTACTGTAAAGGTACTCTGTAACAAAGTAATTCCCGCGAAATTCAACGATTTGTTTTCCATGAAATTTAACAACACTGCGGGCGTCAATGTGAGTGAGTCGCCGCGGCGCGCGAACGCGCATTTTTTCTGATGTAATGCGCCACCTTTTGAATGTTAATTAATTTCCAATGCCTCTTTCCGAGGAATTCTTATTCCGAGCGGGGGTTTTGAATCTTGTCGCGTTGGCCGATGACTACCCAAGCGCGTAAACTGTGCGCTGTACCCTCCCGCGAAGCTTACGGCACGCGCGTCCGTGACACGTGCGAATGCGTGACGTACGCCTGCTACTGTGCGCGCGTAACTTAGCAGTCCCGGCCTCTGACCGGAAGCCCATTGGCACCGGCAAATTGCTACCGCCGATGAGTTTCACACCTGATTTTCGACGAATTAAAGTTTAGGAAATTTGGAGGCACCCGGAAATAAAGCTGTCGCAAACGAGTGAACAAGAAACGTAGACACAAATTACAAATATATTTAGGGGAATCGATTGCGGGAGCGGGCAAAAATCGAGTTTTCAATTTAATTTTGCTGAGGTACTAATTTCAATTTAAAAGTTTGGTAGAGAACAGATCCATTACGCCTGAAAGCACAATTCAGCTAGTATAGTGGCGAGATGTGAATGATGGATTATCGATATTTACCAATTTGAAATTACAGCACAAAATCGATTATTAAGGCGTTTGTCGAGAACGCACCCTGTTCATCGATCCTTTTCCATAGGTTTAAATGGCAGATCAATCCATGTATCGCAAAGGACGCCTCGTCACTGTCACCTAGCTGTTTATTCCCAGAAAATCTAGTCTTACATACTTAGCGATGAAATTCACACCTCCTGTTCGCTAAAAACCTATTTTTTATGAGTAGATGTCCGGAATGAGCGTGTCAATTCACGGTAATACCACTATTCGACCTCGTGAGAGTTCGTGTTGCATACACCGAACATTGTAGGGGAACTGCCAATTCGTTAAAACCACCTCTCCTCATTTGATAAAAGAATATTTATCGTGTGTTCTGAATAAGACATTAATGGTGCTACTACTATTCGATCACTTGGGAGCTGGTGTTGCCTACACTGAAAGTTGAAGGCGAAATGACCTGGCGTTACAGTTTACTGCTCCCGCCCGCTGAAAAGCAATTTTTGGTATGTATAGCGAAGTAAGCGTGGTATTTCACTATGATACCACTATTCGACCACGAGGGAGTTGTGTTGCCTACATCGAAAATTGTAGGCAAACTGCCAATGCGCTGGAATCACTTCCTTGCGTTCGGTTGAAGGATATATTTTGCACTTCGGATGAACGTGCAGATTAACACTGTTCAGCCACGGATATAATTCAAACATTGCGCTTAATTTGTCAAAGGGAACAGTTAATTTTCACGTTTCCAAATCTTCATTTATATTTTAGGATTTACAAAATAGAATCTTTGAGCAAAAACAACTTAGTTTTCCGATGAGAGTTTGATCTCAACTCTCTAGATCAAATGGACTACGAAAAAAGAAAGACGTTGATCTTACCTTAACACTATTGACTGGAGTAGAGTTTTCTTTGGGGCGGCAGTTATCTAAAAATAATTTGTTCCTAGGCGAGTCGGTGGATATGACGATAGTGTTGGTGCTGGAATTACTAGTGGGACTAGGCGTGGCCGTGGAGCCGGACTTCTGGAGACTCTGCTGCTGCTGCAACTGCTGCTGGTGCTGCTGCAGAAGTTGATGCTGCTGTTGGAGAGCTGCTAGACTGAAGGGGGATCCGGGCAGGGCCATCTGACTCCGGAGCCCGGATGCTGCTGCTGCTCGCGCCGAGAGGGTCTCCAGAATTTTACCTGCACAAAAAAGTTAAAAAGAAATCATTAATATGTATATCAGAGGAAGTGAAATCGGTGAAACATACATTAGACTGAAAAAAAATCGGATTTCGAGATCGTAGAAAAGTAGGTTCATTTTAGCATACACTGGAAAAAAAGTCGTTTGGATCTAGAGTCCAGACTCTTGAAAACAATGACAAGAAAAAATATCTTTGATTAAATTGGATTTTTGCTTGAATCAAGAGGAAATCCGCTTAAATTAAGAGGCTTGGTTCTCGATTTAAGCAAAAATCTGATTGAATCGAGAGTAATTTTTCTTATCAATGTTTTAAAGAGTCTAGACTCTGGATCCAGGGGACTTTTTTTTTTAAGTGCAGATACATCCGAGGTACCAATTGTTCCTTCTGGAAGAACTATACACCACAATGAAATCATAGAGAAGAAAAAAACAAAGCTCCTTCAAGGAAATGTAGTTTCTCGTGGTGCCAAGGAAACTACTCGTCGCGTCAAAAAAGCACTTTAGTTGTGACAAAAAACCTTTATTAGCTGTGATGCAGTTTTCCTGGTTGGCTGGAAAATTTTGATTCCATGATACATTTCGTTCAAGACCCAGACCAATTTTCTTTTCATACCAGTCTGGGTGCATGGGAAACCCAGGAATACATTTACCATTAACCGAACATCATTACCATCATCCAGAGATCATTACCTATCGATAGCCGATAAATTATAAAAATGGACCCGATAAGTCTTGGAGTCTCTATGTTTGTGACCAAGATCGCAAGGAGCATTGCGAATTCATAAAGCTTGATAAGAGTAATGATTTGATGTAAATGCTTAGCACGATTGCATAGATGTCATTGAAAGGGCAGAATGTGTTCAGGGAAGGTCATTCGTACTGGAATGTAAATCAATACTCATTCAACTTATTACTAGTTTGTTAATACTTTTCTTCAGCTCTCCTTCCTTTCTTTTTTACCCGCAATTGAAAATTTTTAGGGACCAAACCAAAATCTATTTGAAAAGATACCGTCTATCTCCTCGTTTATAGTTCTTCGGAATGGGGGGTAAAAAGTCATAACCAACGATTTTCCGTTTCATCTTTAGCGGGAACGGGGGAAATATGAAATATTCCGAGGCACGAAAATACAGCGATTCCCGCACAACATTTCAAACGACGGCATTACATAGAGGAATATGAAAACGCGAAAAAGGCTTCTACAAAGTAACCGTTTAACGATTCAAAATATTTATGCGACCATAACTCAGGGCTTTAGAGAGTGGCGAAGGAACTGCAGACGCAGAGAAGCGCGCTGTTTGAAAGGCAAGAAATACGGATAAATCACGATAATGGATCCATTGGGAGAGAACATGCGCTCGCTTAAAAATCACAGAAGACAGTAAAAACTGCAGTCCTCATTAAAATAGAAAAATAAATAAATAGAGAAGATTGAGTGTCGACGCGATACCGTCGTTCCTTTATTTTGTCGATCACTAGAAAAGACATGCAAACACTAAGTACTTCTTCCCCCTTGAATTATTGCGCTTAACTCATCACGGAGGATACTAAGGCTTAATTTTTTTCTGAAAATTGAAGAGGCAGTATGAGAAGCCAAAAAAACAGTCCCGATAAGGGAAAAAACCCGAGATCACCTCCTGCAGACGCGATAAAAAAGTCACTAATAGCTGAGGTAAAATTGTATTAATTCATTTTAATCGTCTATTAATTTAGCATTTTATTTCTCACGAGTAGATGCACGACCCTCCGACAATAGCTTATTCTCGAGAATCACCTTTTCCTCCCCAGAAATCAAACGCCGGCGGACCATTAATAAAAAAAGGGAAGGAGAAAAAATGATCCGCGGGCAAAAGGGCAGGATAAAAAACAAAATAAAGACAGGGAAGAATGCAAAACCTGTAGCGCAAAGGCCTATCAGGTGAATATGACACTTGGTACCCTAACAAAAATGAAAATTGATAGTTTACTTAAAAGTGGCAAAAAACGACGGTAATAATAGGCAGACACCGCGTAATGTGCGCGGGCAATGAGGGGTAGAGAGACTTAATAACACGACTAACAAGCCCTTACCGCAGGCGCAGGGGAGGGGGTAGAAATAATACCCGATCCGCGGGTTTTCCCCCCAAAATACGTGACCCATTAATGATAGACTTTCATCTGCATCGATTGCAGGGTTAACGGGACAAAAGTGCACTGGCTCCGGGAATCATCCCTTCTGCAGTATAAATATCCCTCGCCCTCGAGGGGGTTGAGCATGGGGTGCAAAAAAACAGGAGAAACTGTAAGGTGACCCGGATCGCTTTTTTACGTTTTTTAGGGAAGGAAAAAACGGAGGCTCAATAGGGTGAATGCAAAGCAGTTAGCACTCGAAGATCGAGAAGGGTGTGAACAAGTCTCAGGAGTGTCGAGAGGCCCAGAGGAACGTCCGATAGCGTGATCGATGACCGGTTGAGACTGAAAATTGATTGATGATTTTCCCGAAAGACGGAAGGATTGAAAGAAATTTAACAGTCATCGGACGGTTGAATTTACGGAAATTGTGGGAATTTGAGTGGAGCGAACGAGATGAGGGATGAAGAAGCCGAGTAATTAACGTTGGTGGGAAGCGAAAGAAAATGCGTTACCAAATTAAGGGAGTGGATGTATTAACACAAGTGGGGTGAATTTGGCTAAAAAGAGCTGTTTGTCCCTATAACGGAATACACGGTGAAAAAACACTTCTGTTACGAGGCCTGAAGTTCAGTTCTCATTAAGCACTAAAGTTCTCGGCCCGGACAACTGAAGTTTTTGATCATGCGATCCGAACCTTGGTTCAGAAAACCGATGGTGTCGGTAAAAAAATACGATTCTCAGAAGGTAGGTTTAAAATCTTCGTTACCTGAACTTCAGTTCGATTCGGAAAACTGCGATTGCCTGGACTAAAAACTTTAGTGTTCCGTTAAAGCTGAAGTTTTTTTCCTCTGTGGGGCCGACTTCCTTTTATTTCGCATGAGTAGAATTTTTCACTGAAAATCTAACTTGTAGCGTTCATGCTATACATTCAGTCCATATCTGACCAAAAAACTGACCCTGATACTTGCGAAAAACTTGCCTCAAGTTCAAGTAATGTCTATGATTTTGTGTTATTTTATTTTCCTATTATTAGTTTTCTTTCTAATTTACACGAGAAGAGCTGAATTGAGGGACAGGAGAAAATCAATCGTGCTCTGCATAAAATTTCCTTAGTGAACGACTTAAACATCATCCTTCACGAACAATTCTGCCCATCAGAGAGCAAAAACCCCAAGCCCTACAAGAAAATAAATTTCGATGTACTTTTTTAAACGAGGTCCGCAAGGAAAATACTCCAAGGTTCCAATCAATATGGGAATGAGGTTGATCATCTTCGATTCCATGATACATTTTTGGCCGGTAACTGCATTTTACTTTTTTCAAATTATTTGTCGTCGCTCTCAACGGTTCTACTCGATAATACCGAAACGAGGCTAGACAGGATCGACATTGAAAAAAATAACGATAAAGCGACCTGCATGCGCACGAATCATGAGGGGCACCAAGGGGGGACTCCACCAATAGGACGGCCTGCCAGCTTTATTCTGACGGCAAATAGGGGGCATAGGCGGGGCGAGGGGGGCGATTCAAGTGCAGTGGCGATCGTGACGAACCGGAGGAATCAGGGTTAAAAGCCGGTCGAAAGTCGAGATTAGTAGAATATTTATCTTATTCACGGAGGCTAGTCCGAGGCTGGCCTCAAAAACGGCTTGATTTGGCCGGATTCTGATTCTGCGTGGAAGGATCGATTGCTGAGTCATGCTTCGAGATCTCGGAAAAACGACTGCTCCGCTCGGGAAAAACCACGTATAAACCAATGAAAAAGACATTGATTTACGCGGTTTTTGCTGAACATGATTGAGGAGCACGTTGAATAGGTATTTACGCACGACCGGACGGCAGGGCGATGGACAGCGGCCTTGCCTCTCCGCAGAAAGGTGAAGGGGGAGCCGTGGTCGGTACCACACGAAATCTTTATTGATCGAAGCGTTTTGATATTTTCGAGACTTGCTCTTAACAATCGCTCATTACGGAGGAAATGCTCCTTGAACGAAGCTTGCCATTGAATGTTAAACTAACAAATGGACTTGGAGACCGGAGGCGTGGAGCCACCGCGCGGCCACGAAAAGCTCTGGCCCAGGCCTAACCTAACCTCCATCTCACAAAGGTTCTGAGGCTTCGGTCGGTCTGTTGCCAAATGGGCAGCGATTCACAGCCCTGCGTGCAACACTAATTACTAGAGGCCCTCCCTTCATCTGCGCTCCAAGTATGTAGTCGGGCAGTTCCTGAATAACCAGTGCGATAACTATTCGGGCACAGCTGTCGTGGTATTGCATACTCACGATTTTGAAGGCGATTTTGGTGCGAGTGTCGGAAGTGCTTTACAGGGCAACGACACCGATCCAGCAGAGCATAGCTTTTAGACCTTGATCACGTAAAAGGAATAGAATATGATAGGGGACGAAGAAGAATAATAAGTGAGAAGGGAAGAGAAAGAAGAACAAGAAGGAACAGAAGAGAAATAAGTGGTAGTAGTAATATAAGTTTATTTTAAAGCAATGCTGTAGCATCTAAGGCCGTTTACACCTCTGTGTGTTTATATGAAAATCAAGGTTACATCAGTAAAAATACAAAAGGGTTTAGGGGAAAGGTTAAATAATAAGAAAAGGAAGAGAAGAAAGATAAATAAGAGGGAAAAAAGAAAGAAGTATAAGGAGGAAAAGAAGAGCAAGAGGATTGAGAAGAGAGAGGAGAGAGATTAATAAGAAAAAAAGAGGATCAACGGGAGAAAGAGGATCAATGAGGAAAAAAGGAACAAACATAAATCCTCTTTCTTCCTCTTGTTCTAATGCGACGCTTCAAAAGTCATTCCACACCTGTATTTTTTTTAAAGAAAAGATAAAAAAAATACGCATGTGTGACAACGCAATAGTAACCACTCTTTTCC